CCATCCGCGGATATTGCAGGCGTCGTCCAGGAGAAATTGACCCAAATGAACCTCCAGAGCTTCGAACACAAGCTCGCGGGCACGCTGAGTGGCGGCAACAAGCGCAAGCTCTCGGTGGCGATCGCGATGATCGGGTCGCCACCCATCATCTTCCTCGACGAGCCGTCCACGGGCATGGACCCGGTGTCGCGCCGGTAGAATCGATTCCTCTCTCGATGGTCGCTCCAACATGTGATTTTGTAGGTTCATGTGGGACGTCATTGCGGACGTCTCGACAGCCAACAAGGAGTCGACGATCGTCCTCACGACGCACTCGATGGAAGAGTGCGAAGCGCTCTGCACGCGCGTCGGCATCATGGTCGGCGGCCGCCTTCGCTGCCTCGGCAGTGTCCAGCACCTCAAGTCGCGCTTTGGCGACGGCCTCATGATCGACTCGAAACTCAACGTGCCGACGCCGGTCCAGCTCGGCGATTTCTTCGCACATTCGGTCCAACCCGTGTGCCAGGCGGCGAAGGATCTCGAGACGCACCTGAGTCGGGACCAGGTACACTAATGACAGACCAGAGGATCTGTCATGCTGACACGCGGATGTTGCGTAGGTCACCAAGCTGTGCGGGGACCTCGGGCAATCCGAGCGCGCGGGCTGGATCGCCAAGACGCACTCCACCGGGTATGCGCTGGACGCGGTCTTCGAGCGCGACAGCACGGTGTCGCTCTCCCTCTTTTGCGCGTGGTGGGTCGGCGAGAACCAGTTTGTGGCCTTCGAGAGCTTTCTCCGGTCGACGTTTGCGCGCGTCGAGCTCCTCGAGCGCCAGAACGAGCACTGCCGCTTCAAACTCCACGACGGCGTCGACGCCAAGCTCAAGCTCTCGGACGTCTTTGCCAAGATGGAGGCGCACAAGGTCGCGGTCGCGCTTAAAGAGTACTCGGTGTGCCAGACGTCGCTCGAGCAGATCTTCAATGCGTTTGCGAGCCAGCAAGACGAAGAGAAGGGTGTCGCGCGCGGCATGGACGTCACGAAGATCGTCTGAGTTCATATTGGCATTCTACCTACGCGTATTACATCGATAAACAATATATACTACCTGCATTTCATGTTTCCACGTCAGTAGCAGAATCGTCGCGGAGAGCGCTCCACGCGGCGTGTCACAAAGTTCAGTTTTGATCTGTAGCTCAAGTACCGCCGATACCACCGGTGCGCTGACCGTCGGCTTGCACGTACCGCAGGGCTCTAGCACTACTGCGCACTTTTCGAGCTGAAGAAAAGACCGGTGAGGAGGCTTGTATGCAGCACAAAGCTGTCGGCGACAGGCCACGGCCATGCGCTGCGTGCGAGTGCTCTTCCCATCTCTCGCCCGACTCGGTGATCGACCTGAGGATATGTGCGAGCGGCGCGTGCCCCCTCCGTGTGCACGCGGAGTGCGGCGATTTAGTCGCTAAGGGTGCTAGCTGTGCGACTTGCTGCGGTAAAAGCAGCGGCAGCACGGGCAGCCGACTAAGAGACGTTCGAGGAGCCACTTGCGTCCAGTTGCTCCGGGAGAAACGACGCTGGCACGTGCAGTGCGCTCTCGGTGAAGAAGGCACTGAGAACACTGCGCATGTCGCCCAGAAGAGCTGCAAACGGTCCATCGAGTGATCTCGACGAGATAAATACAGTCAATCCCGCAGGCAGTAGCGACACCTATCCATGACTCTAACATCGAATTTACAGAGTCGAAGGGTACTAGTGACGACATGGCATGACGCGCACGTGACATCGCGTACAACAAATGAGCGTACACCGCAACGCCGAGATAAGATTACAGGCGAGAGACATTAGATACTCCTCGATGAGATCGCGAACCGATTATTGCCATCGATCCATCGACTTGAGCTACAAACCAGTGTTACACCAAACAGAGTATAAAAAGAAACAATACCTGCCGATAGCCATGGTAACAAAGGACCGCTCGGGTCGTCTGTAGGCGCAGCAGTGAGAGCGTGGGCCTCGTCGTCTCGCTGAGAAGCAGCTCTCCGACCGATACCGTGCCGAGAGCGCTTTCTCGTGCCACCATTGCACTAACGGCGCATTGTAGAGAACTACAGTGTACGCCCTCGGCTGTGTGTCTGGTCGACCACGGCGTCAGCGTTAAGGGCGTCGACTCGACCGCCTCGCGAAAGTCGTCCAGACCTGGCACAATGAGCGCGCACATGTTTTTTGCCAGGTCACACACGCTCGCGACGACGAGCCGCGGCAGGGTCAAAACCTCGTTCGCTTCAGGCACCTAGTCGCTCTGTGAGACAAATGAGGTTTCGCAGCAGTGTGTCAAACCCAAACAGCCCATGGCTTGACGAACGAGGTCGGTGCCAAGCTCGCGTTGGCGCCGTGGACCAAGGGCGCGCAGCCACTGCTGGTGCCCACCGAGGGCGAAGTTGGCAGCTCGAGCAGACATTTAGTTGAACGACAGGCTCGCTGCGGCGCAAACTTGTCGTTGCGCTGGCAGCAGTCTCCGCGCCGGCTGCCGTGTGCAAGCGTCAGGACGTCATGCGTGGGTGCTCGAGTTAGCATCCATCAAGCTCGGCGCCACGCGATGTCGTGCGCGCTCGTGCAGCTCCTTCTGCCGCGCTGATGTCGCCTCGACCGTTTGCAATTGCACTTGCTGGTGGTATCCGGAGTGTGTCCGGATACGTGGACATGACGTGGCACGCGAGCGAGCGAGACAAGGGTGGTCCTGGCACAGGCGCTCGACGTTGTCGCTGTCGGCGCTTCTCTCGGTAGACTACCTACTTATCTTTCAGTGTGTTGACGCCCAAAGTAGAAGCAATGCCATTTCTACCGCTGCGGCAGCGCTGACACGACCAAGTACAGGTGCTGAAGCGGCACATCCGCGAGCCTCTTTTTCAACTTCGCGGACTTGAGCGCGGGCACTCGAAGAGGTGCCGATACAAGATTTGCCGATGCGTCGCTCCCGGACTCTTGTCCTCGGTATGTGATACCTAGATGGAGATAAATATATCTTCCAGCTCGTCGCCCATTCCCCAACGGCGTCTCCAGCCATAAGCGACCAATAAGGCCATGTCCTGGCTTGTGTTGGTTGGAGCATGGGTTGTTCTAGTACAAATCATTCAGATACAACTCACGTCATATGAATGGAGTATTTCTCACGTTTTGCGACCTCTGGAGAGTGAGGTGACCCTTTCACACGTTTCACACATGTGATGATGGACGACATCGCATCTCCGCGAGTTTTAAAGGCAAGTGCATTGTTAAGCCTCTCACCCCAATGGCTCCACAGGTTGCGATAGCTTTGGACGTAAGAAGTCCAAAAAGTTCACATGAATCGCATTCTCATTGCAGTGGAACGGGGCATCGTCGCCACAAGTGTAAATTGCGATGACTACGGCGTGCCAATGAGGTCGGTTTGTTCCAACGTTTTAAAGGAGCTTGGTGTTTCGTCGTGAAAATTGCAACAGATGCGTTGCAGGAGCCAGATCGCAAGGTCAGCGCGCTGGCAACGGCGGCCTTTCTCGCATGCAGTCGTTGCGCAAGGGTGTTGACTGCATGCCACCAAAGCTCTCACACAGAGCCCAAACAGCGGCCCTCGAGCCAGCCTGTAAGTGGGCTGAACACCTACGTCAATGAGTTCTTATCCCAGCAGGACTATCTTTCAGAAGCAGTCTGTATTTCTTCAGTCGTCCATTCTCCGTGAAATGATTCGACGTCGTTTGATGTCCGCGAAGCGACGACGCCCCACACACGCGCCAGCAAACGGCGCGGGAAAAGTCGTATCTTTCGCCAGGAGTTATATGTGACTTTAAAACACGAAAAGCCCACCAGTTTCATTGTACGAAAAGTCTTGAATCTAATTGGCGCAGATGAGACGTCGTGCGGTGTGATTGGTCACAAATATTTGCGCTCCAGGCGCACCGCAACTGTGCACATTTCAATTTGCCGCCAAGGATGAAGGTTCGCTTTGGAGTCTGCCTCGCTATGGCCATTGCCGCCCACGCCAACACCCACAAGAAGGGGGCATCCGTCGCGTCGAAGCACGGCGTGGAGGCCACGACGGCGTCCCGCATCCTCGCTGCTGCAAACGGTGAGTCAGCGTCGTCACTAAACCAGGAAGAAACCCACTGCTGGCATAGATCACAACACGGAGTACGAGCCCAGCTTGATTGATGCGTTCGATGAAGCCGACGCGATCAAGGACACGCCATACGACTTTCTGAGCGCCGCCCAAGCGTCTCGGTACCGGTCGACGCACGACGACCACGCGCATCACGGCCAGTACTGGGACGACGTTCACGTGGAGGTGATTGCCGACGAAGACGGGTGCCCCGAGATTCCGTGTCGCGAACTCTCGGACTTTGTGAATGGCAAGTGCACGTACACGCCGCTGCCGCACGGCACGCTCTGCCCGGGCCAGAGCTGCGACAACGACGGTCCGTGCGACGCTGACGAGAAGGACTATTGCGACAGCGACGGCACGTGCCTTAACGGCTACAAGGACCAGAGCATCGTCTGTCGCAGTGCCCGCGACGCCTGCGACGCGGCCGACTACTGCAGTGGCGAAAGCAGCGAGTGCCCCGACGACGAGTTTGCGCCGTCGTCCAAAGTGTGCACCAAGATGGGCAAGTCCACAGGGGGCCCGTGCGACGCACCCGACTACTGCGACGGCCGCGGTCACTGCGTGGACATGTACCAGTCCAACAAACACGTTTGCCGCCGCGCCGCCGACGTCTGCGACGAGGCAGAAACGTGCACGGGCGTCAGCGGCGACTGCCCCAGCAACAGCTTTGCACGCAAGGGCATCGAGTGCACCTCAATTGGCAAATCGTCGGGCGGCGCATGCGACAGCGTTGACCGCTGCGACGGGCACGGCAAGTGCATTGACCACTTTAAGGGCACGAACCATCTCTGCCGCAAACCAGTCGACGTTTGCGACGAGCCCGAGTACTGCTCGGGCGAGTGTGGCGTCTGCCCCGACGACCTCGCCGCGCCCGTGGGCAAGGTCTGCACCGAGATCGGCAAGTCGAGCGGCGGCAAGTGCGACGGTGTCGATGTCTGTGACGGGCGTGGTCGCTGCATCGATACGTTTCTCCACAGCAGCGTGGTCTGCCGCCATGCGAGTGATATTTGCGACGTGCCCGAATACTGCACGGGCTACGTCGGCAAATGCCCCCACGACAAGTTTGCATCCCGAACGACCGAGTGCACGCCGATCGGAGAGTCGTCCGACCACGCGTGCGACGGCGTCGACTACTGCGACGGCCACGGCAAGTGCGTCGACCACTTTGAGAAGGACACGCTGTGCCACGTCGCCGAGGACCTCTGCGACACGAACCTCTTCTGCAACGGCGCCCACGCCTCGTGCCCCCGCAGCACGCACGACACACACGACTTCGGGAACGACTACGCCTCTGTCTTTGCGTACAAGGCGCGTCAGTGCTCGGCCAAGGCAGCGCAGCAGTTTGTCTCGGTGTACGATGCGCCGGGGGGCAGTGCAGCGCTCC